TCAGACATAAAGACAAGGAGGAAAAGAAAACAGGAAGGAGAATGAAGGAATACATAAAGAGGAGGAGAAAAAACACAACCAGGAAGATGACAAATAGCAGAAAAGGAATGAGGGATCAAGGCACATGATGAAATCAAGGAGCAGATATGAACAGATAGCATTGAGAGTGGGATTTTTTTCTCTCCTATAGCCCCAAGGGAGCTTGGCTTGCTAATTGAGGTATCTATGTGTTCACCCCTGTAACCAGCTAGATTTTATGCTGACGTCAGCAAGAAGTGGCAGCAGAGATTTTTTTCTGTTTAAAGGAGCCTCAGCAATACATACCTATTCTTCCTCAGGAAACTGGCTTTGCCCAGATGAATCCCTCCTTGGCAAGGGTGTACCCGACACTATCTCAATTCACCTTGATGGAAGCAGATAGGGAAAGATTCAGACCCAAATTTAAATAGGTGATAAGGGCAGCTTTACTCGAGTTGCTTTAACCCTGGAGATCCAAATTCACAGATGCTAGTGAGCCTTGTCTCCCTCTGCTTCCTTTATAGATGGTTCAAAGCAAAATCCGGTTTTACCACTTTGAACGATGTGCCCTGAAGGAGCCATTCTTTCACCATTTGTTGGGTTGAAAACTCCCACTGGTTCCTCAAGTCCAGACAAAGGGTGTGAACACCTTTCCAGTGTCTGAAGCAATCATTGACATACCTTCAATTTAGCATTCACAGGCAGTTTTTAGCAAACCTCTTCTGTATGAGGTATGATAGAATTAAGTGTCAGTGTTATTTATTAACAATCTGATGTACCCAAAAGAAATTTTCTTCAGTTTAAAAGACTGTCATGTGTGCCACCAAATCCCAGCAAAAGGACCAGAAATATTTAGTGAATGTTGAGAATGTTCTTTCATTTCTAGTGAAACTCTCCTAGTTTGGAGAGTGAATGACAGGTAAGCAGTTACTGAAATAATTACTTGATAATTACCAAGTACCTGAAAGTAAGTGGTTTGATAATTTCATTCCAGTTCACAGAGGACAAATATAAAAACCAAACCATTGTGATCAGATTTTTATTGACCTTACACATGTAGCTACTGCTGCTGTGCTGTAACCTGCAAGAGTTCTGTGTACAATCCTCTGGCTTATGAATTTGGAGCCAAATTTGCATAAGCACACAGTCAAATTATGACCCTAGAAAGACTCCTGGACTTAATTACCACCATGTTACTCAAGGTTCATGACAACATATCCCTGCTGATGTCAGGGTCCCTCTGTGTGAAACCTGAAAGATAGGGTGATGAATCAACTTTCATAAGTGCTATAGTTCCCTAAAAAATATACAATATGTTTACGTCAGATTTGTACATGCAAGGAAGTGAAAACTCTTTTAAAACAGCTTTTAGGCTCTCTGATGTTATGAAGTATTCTAGGTGTGGTCCCTCTCTGTTCTGACCCTTTCTAAAGCAGAATTTCACTCTCCTGCCTCCACACACTAGAAAGAGAAGCATGAGTAGTCAGTGGGCTGCTCCCAAGGCTGAGCAAACGTAGGCTGGAGGGGCAGTGCTCCCTGTCATCAATATTATTGTCTTTATTATAGAGTCTGCAAGCAGCTTTCACTTTTCACTATCTCTGATTTTTAATTTTTCCCCACCCCAATATCACATAGAAACCCAGCCACGATTCAGGCCTTATTATACCTAACCTGTCAAAAAAAACCCTGCCAGTCAAATTGCTATTAATTGATTTAATTGCATTAATTTTGTTATATCAGTGTAACCCAAACAAAACAGATGCACTGTGCTGGAATAACATGTGTTTGTTCTAGTACAATTTTATACTTATGTAGTATTCCTTTTCTATGAATAGGGATTAAAATAAGGTTTATCTACAACATAATGATAATCATCTTTATGTAAAGTTTTTTAAGCTCAAGCAGTGACAAAGTGATTACTTAATTGCTCAAGATGCTGATAATGCAGCAATTGGCATAGGTTTGATGTGCACAGTGATGGTTCAAGTATTGACTAAATGGCAAGTCTTTGCATGGATTTACACAACACTGGCTTGTTATTAATAACCTTGTATGTGAACACCTTTTTTTGGGAACAACTGTAATTTTCTCTGCAGTAAGAATTTTCACACAATAGGTGCTTAAAAATTGCTACCATCCTCTTTCACATCCTATTTATTATGAATAATCTTTTGCCTGAGAAGTCATGAATGCCAGAACATTTATACCATACATTGAAATATATAACTTCCACAAAGCTATCAGCATATATAATTTTCAATATCATAATCATACTATGAACATTTCCTTTGTACAATGCTACAAAAAATGCCAATTTTAAGATAATAAGAGACCAAACACTAGCTAGAGTGTGATACTTGATGTAAAAAGATACAATTATATTGCCCATCCCTTCTGTCTCAAATATGTGTTTACTTTAGCTCAGCTGAATTAAAACAGGGCAAATAATTGGTCTGGAACAACTGTACTAGACAAAGTCAAAATTTAAGAGTGTTCAAAATGATGCTTCATTCATCCCTTTTCTTTCCCAGAAACATTTTTAGAAAGACTGCTAATACTGATGCCATCAATTTTGTCATTCAAACTTTCTAGATCATGTGCCATACAAATATTTTGCAAAGACAGATGAGTTTTCTGGGTTCACATGAATACCACAAAATATCTGAGTATGGAATTCTCGACTTTTTCAGTTTATCAAAGTCCCCCTGAATCTCTTCAGTATCTGACTATTACACACACCTCTTACATGTGCTTTCCAGCACTGCTGCTAAATAATGCCTTCCATCACTGTTTCAGTTGCAGAGATGACATGGGATGGCTTGATGCCATGCCAGTGGTCGCCTCTGGTGTTCTTATTTGAGGATGGAACAAGGATGCAAGGAAAATAGTCTTTCTTTCTTTTTCAGGATTATTGAAGAATAAGACCCACACTTGCACAGATTCATGGCCGCTGTGAGTTACACCACGACCCATGCACCTGAACTTTTGAATGTACCATCCAAATCACATTTCAGCTCCCAAAATAAGGGTTAGTTAGAGCTCAGGGGAAAGAGGCCCAATGCTGCTGGGAAAACATGATAATTTTTAGGCATGGTCATTTGGCTGATGACCTTGAAGCAGAAGGTCTAAAACACAACAGCAAGAAAGATTACTCTTCTGTTAGGGATAACATTTATGGCTTGCAGTTGCATTTTCTCCTCCTGATTAGAAACGGTCCTCTCCAAGAATGGTTCCTGAGGGATAACAACATATCTCGGCCCTTTGTAACCATCAGTGGAAGTTCTGCTTCCCGCAGTTGGTATGGAGAAAGTAGGCTGTGACAGTGAAAGGTCAAGAGAAAGCAATAGTTTCAAAATAATTACTTTCCAAAAGTGGGGAAATAATGTTTGTTTACACAGTAGAAAGAGTGTGCTGTGGAAAAGAGCACAAGGAGACAGGTTTCTCCACTGCTTCCCGTCAAGAGATTTCTACATAATGTCAGGTTCAAGCACAAGTGGGACACCTCACATAATTCTGTAATTTTAAATATCCACTTCTGGACTACTGGTGCAAAGCACTCTTTATAGTCAATGGAAAGAAATAGTCCCCATAAGTGAAAGAATTATATTCCTGTTTTAGCATCAGATCAATCACCTTCAGCATGAACTTGTTTCTCCTGCTGAGAGCTGGGTCTGGGCTCCTAGTTCATGTAGATGTCTAACTAAATGCAAATGAACCCAGGCCAGCTGTCTGTGTGTGGCATGCCTTACCCTCAGATGTGCAATCCATACATTTTATTCATAATTTATTGCATGAGAAGCATAAAGAGATAAGGAAGAAAGAAATTTCAAAAGAGAAAGAAAGAGAAAAGTGAGACAAATACAGAAAGAGAACCATAAGGTGAGGAAAATGGCAATAGTGGAAGCTGGATGTGAATGCAGAAGGAATTCAGGATAAATGGCCAGACACAAGTAAATCGTACAAGGGTTTCCAATTGCTGACACACAGCATTCCTAGAGAGAGAGAAGAAACCGTGAATTTTGCAAAAGTGTTAGTTCTTTTGTATAAATGCTACATCCCAATTAACAGGTCTTAAATTGCTTCCCTAATGTGTCGAGTACTTTACCTACGTTTTCCTTCTCTATCCCAGTATTTCTAGCTGAAATTTGTCTTGACAACTTTGCCTTCAGAATCAGAAAGTTTCTCTGTTGTCCACTTGCTTAATTTTTAAACACGCCTTGTCTTCACACACTTCAGTAAAACTCCCTTTAGGCATATTTTGTTCTCGAAATCCCATCATTTCTTGGCAATGCATCCGTAATAGCTTTGGCCACTGAGATGCTGAGCGGTATAATTTCATTGTCTGCTTGACAATAATTCTGCTCTCTACCTGTGTCTAACTGCTGTCTTTGTTATGTTCTTAGGACATGTGCTCTTTGTTCTGTTTGCACAGCATCCTGCAAAATGGCATCCTAGTCTGTGACTGGACTCTGGTGCACTCTGATCACAGAGGTGTAAACACCCGTGTCCTGTCTGAGGTTGCTACGATGCATGGGAACCACGCTGTACTTGCAAGCTTTTAAGTGCAAAAGTAGCACTCTGCACACAGGGACAAGGTAACACCTGGTTTTGTATTGGTACCCATCGCGTGCTTTCTTGGCCTCAGGCCAACGGGATGCTTTAGAGCAAGACTTCTAAGCAGAAGTTCGTATTCAGTTCATTCCCGTTAGTTTCTTACTGTAAATCACGGCCTGGAGCAATTTCTGCGGGAAGAAGCACAAGGCAGTCTAGACGCTAACGCGAGCAACCTTGGCCGATAACAAGGGCGGCTTCAAGGGAAGAGCCTGCAGGCCGGCTGCAGTCGCTCACGCTGCCGGTCTGCCCGTTCTGCCCAGCACCGCCTCCCCGCCGGGGCCACCCCCCGGGCCGGCACCGCCCCCGCTCCGCCCGCCGCCCCCAGCAGCCCCCGCGTTGCCCGGGGGCGCCCCGGGGGCGGCGGGCGCGTCGCGGCCGGTGCTGCCCCTGGCGCGCGTGTGTCTCCGCAGGCCGAAGCGGCAGCCGAAACCCTCCTCGGACGAGGGGTACTGGGACTGCAGCGTCTGCACCTTCCGCAACAGCGCCGAGGCCTTCAAGTGCTTGATGTGCGACGTGAGGAAGGGCACCTCCACACGGTGGGTCGCCGGCGGAGGGGGAGCGGGGGCGGCGGGGGAGCGGCCGTCCGGCCGTGACAGGAATTGGGCCCGGGGGAGCCGCGGTGCATCCCCAGGGTGTGAGGGAGGGCGGCCGGGACAGGAATCGGCTCTCGTTTATCAGGGGAGGGGGCGGGAACACATAGCCTCCCCCGGCCCGGGGCTCTTCGGTGAACCTGACCCAGCGCTGCGCCGGCGTGTGTAGAAACAGAAAGAGTAAATACCAGGAAGGGCATAATTGCCTGCACAGGGTAACCCTGGAGAGATTGTGCACGAAAAAGAACTGTCCCCTAGGGTGTGCCTGCTGAGACACTCATCCTTTTAATTTTTTTTTTAAATTAATTTTTTTTCTATGAGTTTAACTTTGCCTCATACATAACCCCTTTGTTTGATTGTTATTTGTAGTATTAGCATTTTTTTGATTCGCTTTTCATCACAGAGCATCACCATGTAGGTATCCGAGGGCTATAGGGGGTGGATTATAACTCTTCAGCGTTTAGGGAGAAATTGTTAGCTGAAATGTGCTTTATGGAATTGTCTCCCTGTGTAACCGTGACTTGCCAGGAGGACCTTTTCTCTATATGCCAGTCACAAAGCTTGCGGTGGATTAACTGGTTCCTGTGCCTGCTGGTGGCCTGAACATGTGTGCTTGGGGAATGGAGGCTTTTTACAAACGAACTTGAGTGCACTTGTAGCCATGCATGCTAATAGCAGAGAACGTTGCTCAGGAACCCTTTCTTACCTAACTACCTGTGGGTTAATCCCGTCAGCGAGAGAAGTTTGAATGGCAATCAAGTTGCAATCCCTATCAAAAGCCGCAATTACATTGTAGATATTGGTCAAAGCAGCGCTGAGTAGGACTTGCAATAAATGTTACATGTTTGATATTGTAAGTGCAAGGTTGGTTTCAATTACTTGACAAAAATGATTATTCTTTAGTTCTGGATCTAGTTTCCCTGACTTCTGAAAACCAGAATAAATATTGGAAGGACTTATCATAACTTCAGTTGTGAATATTAGTTGCATGTTTTGGTTTGTTTGGGGTTTTTTTTTTTTTGGGTTTTTTTTTTTTTTTTTAACAAAGGAAATCAGTAAGGTAAATGTGACAAGATGGAATTGCATCTGTCACATCTATTATGGTTTCCAGTTATAACAATGGCATTATATTTATATCACAGAGAGATGTCTACAGATCGGTATTGTTCAGCAAAATAAGACTGATGAATTAATACAAAGTCTTTAAAAACATAATGAAAAAAGCCTCTTTAACATCCAGGCAGTTTGATAAGAAAAGTCAGTTTAAAATTATGTTTTATTGCTTTGGAAACTCAGCAGGATAAAAGCATTGAAACTGAACAAACAAACAAAAAATGGAGCTCCTGAGAAACCAATATTTTCATTGTCTTCTAGTTTCCCTACTTGAATATTTCATCTTTTAAATAATTTTGCAACAAAATGTCTTTTTTCTTTCTTTGGTTTCCACTTTCTCCCTGACAATGACCTGGTATGCAAACTGTAGTTGATAGGTTGATTTTTTTTTTTTTCTCTATTTAAACTCTGTAACAATGTGTCCCTTAGTAGGTTTATGGGACTCTTTTTTCCCCCCAAGGTTTAGATGGGTTGCATCCTCATATGACTGCAAAATCCAGGTTTTTCACATGATATGAGGTAGATAAAAGTTGAAGTTTTAGGCCAGGCAGCTGCTGTCTCCAGTTCTGATATATGATTTGAGCCAGTAAGTAGACCTTTGTATCCATGAAGAGAATCATTAGGGTGCCAAAGAAGCACAAAAGGCCAGCTGGGTGGTTGGGGTTTTTTTGTGGTTTTTTTTTTTTTTTTTTTTTTGGTGGGCTTTTTTTTCTTTTTTCCTGTGGACTTGGAGTCCAAGTGACCAAATTATTACCTTGGTAAAGCATTTGTTGGTGTTGCCTATAGGACAAAATGGTTTTCATCAGCATGGGGCAGGATAACAATACTACCATGTTTTGATGGCACTGAGAATACATTATTTATTTATTTTAGTCTTCCATTTTGAAGCTTGATGTTAGATTAAGGTGATGCATCAGCGTGGTTGTTGCTGTGCAATCATTCTTACTTAGAAGTCTGTGGGTTTTTTTACTGATTAAAGCTTTGTCTATAAGACATTGTAAAGTGCTAATTTTTTTTTTTAATTCAGAGCAATCTCTTTCTTTGTGTTGAAATATGTAATACCTGATTCTGCATGTTAAACTTCATTAAATGTGACCAGATTTGCAGGTGGAAAAACAGGCAATTGTATTGAAGCTACAATTTTTTTTTAATACTTATTGTGCACATTTACCTTTACAGAAATATTTTCAGGTATGAGTAGGGTTTGTGGACATTTTCACTGTTGAATTATTTCTCCTCTCTGAAAGAGTTATCTTTCATGCCAGAGGCTAGAAGTGGGTTATATCCTTTAGTAATTGATAGAATTATTAAGATTAGTGCAAATTTTTACAATTTCCTTATTATATTTTATTTCTAGACTGAATTTTCAAAGCAGATTAGATCATGGAGTTAAATTTACTTTTTGTCTATGGCAGTATTGCATTGAAAGGTTAAACTGGGCTGTCCTTGGAGGGGAATGTCCCAAGGGAAATCCTGGATGCTGCAGGAAGTGGTGTAACTGATTCCCACCTGGTACTAAAGCAGTGCCCCAGCATGGTGCCAGTTAGATGTGCCACAAGTCAGATGTAAAACTAAGATCCTATCTGCCAGATGGATATCCCTCTACCTTTTACTCTACAACTATTGCCAGACATTAGTTTGGTAATGTCACTGAGAATCTAAACTCTCCATGTACATATGGCTTTAGTATTTACTTTCTAACCTAAGTTGTTCTGTTTTATTGCTTGGGTACTGAGAAATTACTATGTTCCTTTTGATAGGAGACTACACTGAGTATAGTAATTTTCTACATGTGGCCTTTAAGACATTTTGAAATCTTTCTAGATGAAAGATGTTATATAAATGTAAGGAACATAGGCCTGTAATAAGTACTCCTTTCTTGAACAAATCTCCTGCTGAAGTTCATTAGAAGCACAAGTAAGGAATACTGAATAGAACCCTAATGTACTGTACTGCAGAGGGATCTAGTAGTGACTTCTATATTTAGATTGCCTAATAGTTTCCATTATAAAGAAATTGTATGACCTTTTTGAGAAGGTTTGTTGTTTGCAAAAGCCATTGTAGTTTGACAAGATGAAAAGTCTTTAGGCTAAATAAGTGGTCTGATTGCCTTGCCCCATGAAATTGTTTAAGTTTTGCTGAGACTAAATAATTTGAAAATCTTCATTCACCCTCTGTCACTCATGCTGTTCAGAAAAATCTCTGCTAGAGCACTGAAAAAGCCCAGACTGGAACTGTGTAAAAGCAACAGAGGCGATGATGGTATGCTGAAAACACAGAATTATATGCCTCCTGGGGAGGTTATAATGGGGTTGCTGAATTTGGGTTGGCTCTCACAATTACTGCTTTGTCAAAAGACAGTTGCCTCCACTGGCAAACTACCATTTCTTCTTCTGTTTTTCATGGCACTCTCTGAATCAGGAGTGTACCAATACTGGTTGACCTCCAAGAATTGGGCTGGATCCTTGGACAGACCTTATAGCAGCAAGTATTTGCTCCCAGTTTATTTGTCCTTCATTAGATGTTTGGATTTTGCTTTCCTTGCCAGATAACACCATTAGTCACTGTAATTTAGATGTGTTGTAAAGATGAAGATTAAGAGTTTGTGTTGCTGGGAAGAAGTACACAAGAGGATTGGCATTCCCTCTAAAGGAGTGCATGTTTCCTACTCTCTGCTGCCTTCTAGGAGGCTGCACTACTGCCCTGTTATCACCTCTCTGCTTCAACTTCCTCAGAAGTGTTATTCAGTTAGCAATAGCATCCTGATTTAAAATTATCTGTCACTTTGCTTTCCTTCTTGTGTTTTTTATGCATGTGGTCTGATCTCTAGTTGCAGGATACTATTCTTTTTTCCATGCTGTTACAAACCACTTCTCCTTTCAGTGTGAATGATGAGTATCCAGAGCAGTGTACTGAGAGCTGCAGGAGGAACTGCAAATACTGGCTTTTTAAACTTTGAAGGGCTTGTAATGATATTCTACTGTGTAAACAAAGCAGAAGAAGGATGTGGGGACATGTGATCAGTTTCTCCTTTTTTGTCTTGATAACGTTCTGTGGTTTTTAAATTAGGGAAAAGGGCCATAAGTGTGGCCCTTTAAGGATAAAGGATGTTTTCACTAATAGTGAAAACTCTCTTGGCTAGTAGTAGGGGAAGATTTGTTATACAGGTGTGTATTTTATGATTGTTATGATTTTATTTTATTTTTTAGAACTACTTTCATTACTTGCTTTGAATTAAAAAAAAAACCCTTAATCTTGTCAATGAATCTGAGTCTTAGTGCCTGCTGTTCAAGCTCTTTTTTTTTTTTTTTTTGACTGGGGGAAAGGGAGAATAAGATGAGACAGGTACAAATGACTTCTGTGAAGTTTTGTGTGGTTTTCCTTTTTTTTTTTTTTTAATTTGGATTTGGGGTGGTTTTTAAGAGGTTTCTATTTGGTACACATATTGAGTGAGCTCTTATATGCAATATCCTTTATAGAATAAAGGATAAAGTCCCTGAAATTTGTAGCCAGAATTAGAAAGTCATGTTTAGTAAGGATGAATTTTTGTGGATTTGGGATCTATACCTCTTAATGTCTTTTACTGTTGAAGCAGAGATAATATATAACCAGCCAAATGGGGGCATGGCTTCTGCATTCTGTGATCTATTGATCTTCATTACTGAATCGTTCCTTTTCTCTCAGGCTAAGGTATGAAAAGCCAAATTTACTCCCACCAGACACCTAAGAGTGTGAGATATAAGGAACTGGGATAGAATCTTTGTATATTTCCTTGGTATTTCGTCAGTGTTCCCTTGACTGTGCCTGGGAGTTTGGCCCTCTAATGTATTTTA